TGGAAGAAAAAAGAGGAACAGATATGTCTTTGGAAGAATATTTCCTTCTGTGAACGTTAGATTTCACTATGAAGTGGGCAGAACGAAGCGTAGTCAACACCACAGTAATCATGCAAAACAGGCATGTGGACGCAGGATAATATTCACATACATACATACATACATACACCAACCGTACACAGAATAATTTGTGAACGATGAAGGGGACTGATATATTTGGACGCGTATATGAAGAATTTGTTGCTAGAATGTGCCTCATCAGATGACACTGTATTATGATTTAGTTCATACATTACAAAATCATACCTAGTTTTTCTTTAGAAAATGCTTATTGTCCAGTAGCGATTCTGTCGCTGCTAAACATAGCTAGAAAAGGTTCTTTCTAGATAGATAATTGTAATATTTATAAAGCGATTATGATGACAGACATAACGTAGGTTACGAAAATTAGAAAATTGGAGAGAACAGTGACTTCGTTTCTAAAACATGAACCCTGGCCATTTAGGGCGTTGCCTGATAGCAGACGGTACCCTTTGGATCACGAAAGGCCAAAAAATGTTATACTCTATATCGCAAGGTACAATCCTGTCCTGTACTCTGATGACACTCCTTCAAGCGAATCTAATAAAATGAGCATAAGAAGTGTTACAATTAGGATTTGAGGTGAGGCTGTAAACATGATGATTGATCATCAATGGCAGCCGCTTTCTTCCATTCACTACTGGATGAGGGTTTCTCCAGCTCTGCCATAAACGCTTGTTTTTTGCGATTCTTATCCATCATGATGCAATGAACTTCTTCAGCCATCGATCTAGAGGTCTTCTTAACAGCCGTTTGCTCTTTTTTCGAACTCGGTCTAATATCTTTCTGATCCAGCAATTGTCGGATCTTCTTGCACCGTGTTCTGGCTGCTCTCACTTCATCTTCTCTCTTACTGACACAGCCAGGCTTATGTTTAGGCTCTTACCAGTTCATTACCATCATTTACCTATCCATGCTGCGTTACATCGTCTCTAAAAGTCATAGATTAGTGCTCTGAATTATTCCCTAGGGTTCTTAGGGTAGTTTACTGCTTTAGCGATGAGGACATACGAAAGAAATATAACGCAGAGGACTTCGAAGTGACAGATAGCAAGAAGAAAGCGACTTAACAGCCACATTGGTCCTAGCGCATCGGAACGGATCGGCTAACGTGATGTCCATTGAAGATGACCTCCTGTCTGAGTCATCGACTTAATTTTGCCGAATCTTTCTGCTTTTTCCTAGCTTCACCTCCACGCAGGCATCATTCAAGTTTGCTTTCACTATCATATTTTGTGTCCTCCCAAGTTCATGAAACCACATGCGAGTTAATGATTTCTTGCCTTATTTAAAAATATAATTGATGTTTACGTCTTGCGTCTTTCACTGAAATGCAGATGCCGTTAAAACGGCTGATCATTAGCGGTAATTGATTGGTCAAAGTTATCTGAAAAGCGGTCTCACCAGTTCACGTTCACGGCTGTTGAACTTAACCTAGAAGCAGACTGAAGATATTGGCAGATTTCTCTGATCCGTTCATGCACTAAATGCCAATTCCATAATCGAGCAGGCTTCGCGTAATTTCTACTCCACTCAGTACGCTATATATTTAAACTTATGTTTGTAATTTTGTATAAAAAGTCGGTCGAGCCTCCAAAACCTTTTTAAATAAGAATCAGTCTGGTTTAATAGTGTAATTTAAAAATATTGACGCATTATTGCACACATTATCGATTCCGACTGCACTGGTTCTGTTGTTGTGGGCTTTATTCATAATTCAAGTCTTTTTAAACCGTGAACGGCGTGTAACTGTCGTGTGTTTACAGTAGTACAATGATACTGTAGCACAGACACCTTGATTTTCATTGGTCAGTAGTCCTTAAGCGTCGGCTACACGTAGGTTTTCTAGAAGTTGTGGAAAAAGTTATTTATTCGGTGCAGTTGGCACCATTGGCTTATTGTCAAGTTATTGTAGTGGTGGTTATGATCAGTGAGGATTGTTATGCCGGCATTATGATTTGACAGATATTTCGAATTATCTTCAGTTAACTGACAATGTAGCCTGATAATGGTAATGTTAATGCATCCCCCACTGCCACTGTTACGCCTTTTTAAATGGCACCCATAGGCATCTGGAAACAAGAGTCTTGAAGAAATTAGTGCCATTCGAAAAGCGTGTCGTGGAGGAAAAATTACATCGCAAAAGTCGAATTTGGAGAGCGGTCAGACAGCTTGAATATGGCAGTTTTCTATTACAAGTAGATGTTGAGAATGGCATGCATTTGCCCCTATGTTCAGTAAGACTCGTTTTATCATCCCACGCTTGGCGGTCGTTTTCTACAGGACCGGTTTTGATTGTACTAGCTTTTCCTGAAGCTCTGTTTGACCTAACTTCCGGCATTAATACGTTTTTTCTTCGATCGAGACAACAATGCCACACATTTTGCGGGGCAAACCCTGTATCGCTGCCAGTTAATGTATGAAAGTAAGCTTAACACAATGACCAGCATCAGAAAAACAGTCGTGATGAATGTGAACGTAGTTCTGACTTGGAAAACCTTGTTAATAGTATTTTAGTTTTTGCAATGGTAAAATGATTCTGCTTGATAAAATCAAAAATTATCGTTGTTTTTCATTTTTTCGATCTCTAGTTGATTAATTTCTCATGTTGTGGAATTTAAAGAGTTAAAATATTTTCCGTCTATGTGCTCCAAAATTTTTATTGATTAAATGCCAACACCTTCATATAAAAAGCCGATTACAGGTATAGATAAAAAAGGAGTTACGATCAAGAGATTAAATTTTAAACCAACGTTTTTGGATGCAGCCACATCATAAATAGGTGCTGGGTACCGTGTTGGTGGACTACGTGATTGTCAGGTCTCTTGATTGTGAATCTTCTTTGTGCGGATAGTCATTGTTCGTTCTAGAACACGCGTCGTAGATCGGTGTTCCCTCATCGGGATCTAAGTAGACGATATAGTACCTTCATCTAATCAGTATTTTGTAGTGGCTGAGTTCTGTGCTATTCTGCCGATACACATGTTTGAAGCAGAAGCGACAAGAGATACTTAGTAGTACATTTAAATACATAAATTTGGGAGTTCATTTTATTAATGCCAGAATCGCGTTTGTGTCTCGTATCATATGTCGAGTAACAGCAAGCGCAGACGTTGGTGTTCCGTTTCATGATTTATGATGACGAGCGGGTTATTTTCTTAGAGCAGAAATTTTTTCGCAATCAAGAGGCGATATGGTAGTGCTTAGTTATACGCGAGTTCAATCAGCAAAAATTTTTGGATAATAGTGGCTTTAGGTATTACTACAGAATATGTCAATTTCCAAAATACCGATGTTAGTTAACAGATATCTTCTTTGTGGATGAAATATTTGACATTTTATGATTACTCTGTTTTCACAACGAAAAATAAGAAGAAACTCAAGGTTGGAAGCCATCTGAACGCACATTTCTTTTACGCTTACTTTTTAAGCGCCGTTTGCAGCTTCCTTCTGCATTGAGGCCGATTTTGCGGTGGCAGCTGCTAGGATTGTATTTTCAGAAGGGAACGTCTCTACAGCTTTCCCCACTGTGACAGGCATGTTCTTCTTTCTTGAACGTTTTCACATAGTTATATCCATTGATCAAGTTCGGAATAGCGAATGGCTGCCGACCTCGCTTGAGTTTGCAATTCAGTCATTCTAATGCGATTGCTGCTCTGTACCTCCGGAACTATTTATTTTGAAGAAGCCGTTTGTTTTCTAAGGTTAAAACGGTAAAAACTGTTTTTTTTTTTCATTTGTCGTTCCCATCAACCTTTTGTTTTGAACAGTTTGTAAGCTATGTTCCTCTGACACTTGTCTTTTGGTTTTCTTGTAAGCAACGTCTACCTTCTTTCTCATCATTCTTGCTGTACGTGTCTTTTCTCTTTTGTTTAAGAATGTAATCGGTTTCCTCGATGGCAATAAATATTGCCGCATTTTCAGGAAATGAGGTATTTTAGTCATCAGAATAAAATGCGATAATTCAGTCATCGTGTAGTTACATCCTGTTTCACTCAAAGAAGGCTTGTTTGCTGAGGTAAAGAAAATTCGTGGAAAAAACGAAATAGTGTTAGTAACTTTATGTTAGTGTTTTTATAACTGTAATTTGAAAGCGGTTTGTCGTATTGACGATGGTTACCTGAATTGTAATACATTGCTTGTCAATCTTTGCCCTAGGGAAATATTCCTTTTATGTCGTTTTGGCTTATGCAGTGATTTTAATGTTGTGAAGTAAAGATTGTTTTCTTGTTTCTAGCTTTTGAAAGTCCGCATCAGACAATGTTCTACCTACATAAGTTGCAGTTCATGTCTCAAATCGAATGATCCATACTGTGGTTGGTGCGTTCTAGATAATAAGTAATTTTTTGTATTTTTATTGCGCTGATTAAATTTAATCTGTGTCTGTTCGAAATTAGATGCTCAACATACAACGACTGCCAGTTCGTTGGCGTTCATAACGGTTTCTTGGCGGTTGGGAGTTCCGTATGTCCAAAAGTTACCGAAGTACTTCCAGCAAATGTTTCACTCTACGAAACTCCTGAAACCAATGTACTTCAATATGTTTTATTTTATTTTCTGCATTTTGTTTAACAGATTTTATTTGAGGTCATGGTAAAAGTGAATCTTTTACCCCCGCCTGCAGACGGTGGCCTATATCAGTGTATATTTGAAAGCAGTTACATACCTGCCGAATACTTGCCTCCAGACACGCTGCGGTGCCAACTGCCAAAGTACGAAGAAAGACCTAAAATTCCTGACGCTCAAGGTTTGACTTATCTTTGACGTTAAGAGTTCACTTAAAAACAGTGGCTGTTTTCAGATTCGATTACAGTGCAACTAAAGGTATGGTCCGGTCCGACTGGGGTGGTATTTGTTTCGACGCCGTTCACCTTCTATGATTGCGCCCAGCATGTTCTGTAAGAATTAGTTTATAACAATTGTTCTAATGTCTGCTCAAATCTAAAATGAGGTATTTTGTTGAAGGTTTATCAATAATTTCACTAGTCAGAGTTTCATGCCATTAGAACATGAATCACCCCTCAGATCTCTGGCGTGCCACATAGGCAGCTTACTACTCGGTGGTACTTTAGTACTTATAACGCATAGAAACACTTGCATCGTTTGATCGGCTGACGCGCAGCGTTTGCTTGTCTCCAGTGATGATTTGAGGGCCGATTATCAATGATGTTTCATATGTATTTTCGTCAGTAATAAAGATGTGTCTTGCCTCTGAAGTATGCTAGCATCACAAACAGCGCTATGACATCATCACCTTGATCCTAGGGTATCGTTTAGGCAGAATACCTTGGCGTCTTGAATCGATGGGATCTGCAGGTTTCTTAACCCACCAAACCACGATTTCGTAAAGTTGCTGCACATTAAATATGTTTTTAGAGAATTGACGTAGCTGATATGATCAGCCTCAGTAAAAGAAATTAATATTGAAGTGTTTAATGCAGGATTTAGAAATAAGGCTACTTTTGAGCTAGACTAGTGTTTTCAATTTTTAGAGGTAGCTTAGCATAATGGTTTCGAGAAATAATTTTGATTTACTACAATATAACACTATCTTTTGTCGGCCCCGGATGCGCAGTTCAATACCGTTAAAATACTTTTATTTCTGTTCAGTTTTTCAGTCGTTGAGCATAGATTCTGTATCATCCCTGCAGTTCATTACTGTCAATTTTCAAAATAGCTCCTGTTCTTTCGTCCGACGAGAGAAACTACAGTAGTATCTGCATCTTTACCAATTCGTTCAATCACACTTTGATGTGCTGGTGAGTTACCCCGATAACAACCACATATACGTCAACATTCCAGCGCTGCTGATTCGTCCACGGCGTACTGTCAGTAGGGAACCGTTCAATGCTGAAAGCCTATTAACCTGTGATAACGCCGAACATTGTTACAGCGGCTGTATCTGTATACAGGATATATTGACAGAGAGGTAATCTACTCGTATATGCTGAATCAAGCCCTTTCGGGATGGAACCGCAGTTAACCGCAGTGGGTGAGTGTCATAATTGACTGTTCAGTTCTTACACATATAAGGTATCAGCAAACTGATCACGGATTTGACAAATCACATTTTCATTAAGTGTGCAACATTCTGGTGTTTTTCCTAAGATTTTGGCTTTCTGCTTTCCTTGAAGGTTTGTGAATTGCAGTCTTTCAGTTCTTTGCGTTTTTGGCCAGGGGCGGGCTAAGACTTTTTTTTGTCTCAGCGTTTCGCTAATCTCTTGCACTAGTCGATCGGCTGTTGAACGCGTTATTTGTGTGATTTGTGCGACTTGTCTGTAACAGGGCCGTTTAAAGTCATAGACTGCAATCTTTCTTGTGTTATGTGCCTGTCGTTCCCAGTTTCTGTTGCACCCCCTGGTAGATTAGCCATGAGATCGACATTTCGAAAAACACGTCTTGACGACTTGTTCTGTTCCAGATTTCAGGGCGCCAGCTCTAGGAATCTTCTTACTGTGGCATATTGAGCTGTACGCTTGCTTTAGCGGTTTCGTGCACGATAGCCTTGGTGACGCAGGTGCAGAATTTCGCCACTTCGGTTTGTCAGCTGTTAGTCTGTTAATCACGGAGTGGCTGTCAGCTGGAGTTTGCCCACCATAGCCTAGACTTTATTTTACTTTCTACGACTTTCGTTAATTCGGTTCATTGCCTCTTTTCCTTTTTCAGGTGTACTTCATGCGTCAGTAGCCGGTGGCAGTGCGATTGGTGCCTGCACGACAATCGTTGTGTGCGTGACAACGAAATATGCAGCAATCAGGTTCGCATTCGGACTTCAAATGCGTGGCAGATTTATATGCATGACGTTAGTGTTTCTGTTGTTTGTTTATAAATTTCGTTGCCTGTTATAACCTATCAGCTGAAATTTATTCAGTTAATAATTTCGCATAGTTATGGTAGTAACACTTGCCTCAGGAACTCATCAATCAACGTTTCGCATTTTCCCCTATTAAACTTTTCACCTGTTCGATACGAATACAAATGTTTCATAAACAATAATTCATTGATTTTCCTCTATTGATTAAATTGTTACTATTATAATGGGAGAAAAAAGTTTTGGTTGCGTAGTGGATACGACGTTAATTCATTACCTTTATTGTAAGACTTTCGTTTTCTGCAACAGTTAGTTGCATTCGCGCAAGTAGCAGAAATTCATCATCCACTCACCGACAAATTTCTTTTATCTGATCTTCGGACATCTTTTCTTCGCTTGCTCATTATTCACTGAATATAGCTTGGAATTTTTTGTTTTCTAACTATTTACTGATTGCGTCTTGCATGAATAATTGAGGAATATGTTTTCGATGTTTCAACATTGTTATTTGCATGAATTTGGCTATTTTATTACTCTTAAATTGTCAAGCGTTCTCGATTTTTTTCGGTACATGCTCTCCCATTTTCCTCAACAGTTCAAATGTTAAACATATGTGCATTTAAACCGCAAGTAACGATACGAATGGTCATTCTTTGGAAATAAGACGAAACAAGATGTTGTGGCATGCATCGTTTCCAGTAGATGGCTGTGTTAATAAATGTAGTGTAGACTAAGATGTTTAGTTGATTGGAACCAATTCCGGAGACGCTTTTGGTTTCATATACTTCTAGTTTAATGCAGTATTCATATAGCTGTGTTGCGTTAGCGTATTCAGCATAAACCGACGGTTTAGAACGACGAAAACGACAGCGGTGTTCATCTTCATACCAATTCTTGCCCGCACATAGACCGACAGGATCTTTTTGAGGTGCTTCTACCGGACAGTTCGCCGACCTCCATAACAGTGCCGGTTTCTAACCTTGACAAACTGCTAGTAAGTCCTTGCCACTCAATCAGTTGGACTCGCTGACACCAACTCTTTCTGTTTGTCTTAGGACAACGATCGTAATCAGCTGATTTGTGCCACAACTATCGAAGGCTCAGAAATTCGGGTTCGCGGCTCGCTGTCCATGGATGAGAAGAAGATCAAGTGCGAAGACTATGCGGTAAGCTGACGTTGGGGAGAATTGTTTGTCTGATAGTGGTTAGCTGTTCAAGGCATTTTGAAGCAGTTCCTGTTCTATATGGATTCTGTGCAAATCGATAATAAAAAATATAATATCCCAGTTCAGTGGTTATAGGTACTAAGAAAGTCAGATGACATCACTGAAAAGCCAACGTTTTCGCCAACGCTCCTCTAATTAGCATATAGCGATTGGATGACCTTAGCAACTGGCCATCGATCCATTATGTTTGCAGGCTCGCAGATAGTTTGCTTCGTGGGATTCGTTAATAGATTCCAGGTTCACAATGCACTGTAGACAGGACGGACAAACTCCAACGATTTTTCCGCCATAAGGCGAAGAACGACTCAGTGGTTCTTTTTCCTGACCTGAAACAACACTACTCTCGTATCCTAAACTAAAAGTAATTTTTTCCGTGGCACCTTCTTTCTAGCACTTTTGTATAGACTTTTCCATACAGGTACAATGACTGCAACGACCTTTCTCAAATCCAGTGTATTCTTCGTAGCCATTCCAGTATGCCGGATACGTATAAGCCAACATCTTCCCTGTTCACCTAATGCTTTGAGCATTTCAGAGCGGATTTCATCGATTCCAACAGCCTTTTTGCTTTTCAAGCATTTCTTAGCTTTTCATTTGCAGAGATGCTGATATCCGTTCCTGCTACTCTTTAGGCGAGTCTTCCTGCGATTGTTCAGGGTGAAGGTTCAGGGTCTTCCTGCGGTTGTTGAAAGTACCCTCCATCGCAGAAGAATGTTCCTCTCGTCAATAGCCAGGCGCAAGGACCTGTCCTTCAGGTCTAATAGACTGCCCTTCATAGGCGTCGCTTGGTCTTCCAGATTACCAGATTTGCCGTCTGGAAATTCAACTTCTCTTCCTCACCAAAGTTTTCCCAGAATTTAGATTTCGTTTTGGTCACTGCTTTTGGTGCCATCTTGTGCACTTCTTCGTACCGCATTGGAAGGAAGAACTTTTCGCCTCCAGGCAGCCTTTTTCTTGCTGACAACCAGTTCTCCTGTCTACCAGGAAATTCATTTCTTCATGCCTCCGGCGGTTGGCGAGCTCATCTTAAGCCACAGCCTTTAACGGCAGCTTGAGTAAGCCACTTTTAAAGGACTTCGACATCAGCGGTCGTCACTTGAATCAGTTCAAACCGTATCATTTGCAACTTTTGTCCTCATCCGCAGAAGGTTATGTTTTTCGTTTGATTCTCTAGTTGCTTTTGCTCTCAGGTTTTCGCATGGCATTCGATCGTTTTCAGCGGAGGGTCCCAGCAGCTATGTAATGATCATTTGACAGCGCAGTACTGCGCTTCTCTTAACATGAACATCCATTACAGAACATCGTAATTCAGAGCTGTACGATTATCTGATCGACCATCGAATTTTGTGCACAAGCTTCCTTATGTCAAATATACCGGTGCACGCTTTGATGCTCGAACTAGATGTTCATAACAGGCAGTCAGTTGTTTGCACAAAACCGCAACAACTTCACGTCCTTAGTGCTGAGGTCGCTGGGGCCGTTCTTTTCACTTTCCGACATGTACTTTGAAATCGCTCATTAGAATGATCGATTTCGTAGTCGATATGTCATGCAGAGCATCTTCTAGTCATCCAGAGTAGATTCATAATTTTTCTCCGGATTGACCGCATGGACCTATAATCAGGTGAAAGCATTTGCCTGCTGTTAGTACAGTCGCATGATTACCACTCTTCCGCTTAATGGCTTCATTTCACTAATTCTCTCATCCTCGTTGCATTCTATCAGAACACCATCACCGGCCTGAGCTGAGCGCAGGTTGTGAAGTCGACATCTGAGTAAAATAGTTTTCACTTCCTAGGTTCAGAATTCCAGAGCGCAGGCGCTTCAACTAGAAAGGTCAACTCTTTCCGGTCAGAACCTTGCGGCCTCATAAACTAACCGTGGCTTCTTCCTTCTAAGTGAAGAGATGTTCAAATTTCTGACTCAGCTTCCTGTGTGGGTATCGTTCCTGTGGAACTTTTTTGACGAGTTATTATTGCATTGCGTTGTTTGTCTCCTCCGTTCAAATTTGGTTGCGGTTCCGTTGCTGAGTTTTACCTTCGTTTTCTTTTTCATCTTCAGCAACTGTCACCGTGCTGCTACACCCCAGATCCCAGCTGGCGTGAAGAAGGTTCTGCTCGCTGATATTTCACAGCAAACCTTAGCTTCCACTCCTCCCCATCCCTGAAAAAGCCTGCTTGGCCCTTGGTAACTCAGGCGACGAATGATCCGGTGTAACGTTTGATAGCGGCAATGCCATGAGGTGCATGCAGGTACAGTAGACCGCGATAGTCTCCGACCCTTATCCTTTCTCAGCCAGGCTTGGGTCTGGCAACGGCACAGTATAGTCGGTTATAAAAGTAATCTGAAATTATCTTCAGCTGCCTGTTTCGTTGTCTGTAATGAAAGTAGTCATGGTTGTAGTACACTTACGACCTGGTCAAGCCGAGCCTTACTACCGATTTCCAGCTTCGAACCCAGAAGGGCATCGTGATTGATAAAGTCAAAGGTATGATTTTGAACTTTCGGAACGATTCGATTATGAAGTTTTCGAATTTAGTGCAAATTTATAAGTGCGAGCTGATGGCCGTGGATTGTTCTCGCTGCGTTAGCCTCGAATCTCGTTACGGCTGTGTTTGGTGCGAAGGCAGCTGTCGATTCATCAAACTTTGTCACCATTTCTTACCGAACGCTGTGCAGCGGCAGGATTCGTCTATCTGTCCAGCACCGGCTATTCTGGACGTGGTCCCTTTGTCAGGTCCGTTCGACGGGGGCACTAAAGTACGCATCACTGGCAGGGATCTGGGTGTTCGCCAGCGTGACGTCGAGAACCGAGTGTTCATCGCCGGAGTGCCTTGCCGTTTGGTCGAGTACGTTCTGGCTGAGAAGATTATCTGTGTCACCGACCAGGCGTCCGGCGAAATCTCAGGGCCTGTCGAAGTGATATTGGAAAACGGAAAATCGGGCATGTCCCGAAATAACTTCGTCTTCGTTAATCCGACGCTGACCGGCTTTCACCCGACCATAGGACCGCAGTCTGGCGGCACCGAGGTGATCATCAGCGGCAACAACCTGCTGGACGCATCCAACATCGAGGTGTTGCTTGGCGATGTGCCGTGCTCGATCCAAAGGTATGCTCATTTCAGAATTGCAATTTGTCCAAATAATTCAGGTTCACTTGCAAATTCTAGGGATAGGTCTACTAGTAATAGCCTCATCTGCATCACCTCCG